GGCGGACCAGCAGATTTAAAAGGGAGAAGATGTTTGAGAAGATTAAGAAGCTCCTGACGAAGTCTGAAGGATGAAACGCGTTGAGCAGCACTGGGACCCTCTTGCTTTGGTATTAGCAGTTTCTGTTTTACATGATCTTTGCCTATGTGATCAGTTGTGGACATCATTAGTGTATATCAGCTTGGAGTGATGGGAGTTGCACTCTGTCACTTTATTTCACTGTCTGCACTTTAGCATTTAGCACTTTTTCATGTTATTTAGAGCTGCTGTACCTATGGGTCTTTTAGCCTATTAAGGCTTTTTATGTAGATATATTTTATTCATTTGCACAGTGTTGGTGCATGTTATTAAGTTTTTTTTAATAAACTGTATTATCCACTTTCATTTTATTATCCTCGTTTATTCATCTGGTGAATTTGGCGCCCTGTATCTTCTTGGTTTTATATAGTATGTTGCTGAAACTCAATTATCTAGCCTGGCCCAGAGGAGGAGCTTGTACTGTATAAATTGAATGCCTGTTGCTTCCAGTAAATCAGTCTTGTTCCAGCATTAAGCTTTGGCTCATGTGTGGATTATTTGGCGATACCAGCGTTATTTTACCCTGTGGATTATTGTTGTTATTCTTCTTTTGGGAAAAAGGGAATACTGGAAGGTGATACAGATTACTACCGTCACAGATGGAATATGGGTAAGTTGATTTCACGGTAAGTCTGGGTAATCATGGAGTCTTTTGTCCTGTTATGCTTGTCAGTACTTGAACTTAACCACAATGGTTTAAGATAATTAAAGTTATAATTTGATGGTCTATGATTTATGCGTACACCCAGTTTTATGCGAAGATATTACCATATTTCTCCTCTCTTCCAGCCTAACCTACTTCATATCATTATGGATATTCCCTTTGTACATGGTCCCTTTTTCGGGTTGGATGGTTATAATTGTTCGGGATCACAAATAAAGAGGAATCAGATTGGTTGTCAGAGCCTATTATGCTGGAGAGTGGAATCCGATTGGCTGTTCCTGTTGCTAAGAAGATATTCCTCTCAGACTGTTTATTGTTCTATACTGGTTATGTAAAAAAAAGTTCTTTGCTGCTGAGGGAAATAAAGAAAGAGTGCAGCATAATACTCGTTAATAAAATCATGACTTGGCGTCATGGTAATAGTAAAATCTGTGAATTTCATTGCATATATGCAGACATTAAAAAAATAATTATCTATCATCTTGCAAATGTTACCATAAAGTCACATGTAAACACAAACAAATTATATCATAATGTTATATTCATTATGTCACATGTATATCAAAGCCCCCCACCAAATAATGCATGTTAGTTTAATGTTCTAAGAGGGCAGTCTGTGCAAAACAAACACATTGTGTTTGGGCCAGAAAAGGGTACTGTGCATGCCTTTGGAGGCTCCTTGTGGGTTTGCGTGTCTGTAGAGGGTGGTGTTTGTTATATGACGTGTAACTATGTCTGTTTCTGTTGTGTTTGCGATGTAGTATGTATGTCTAGTGACTAGTGTGTGTTTGTGTGTGTCTATGGGCTGTAGAGAGATAATGAGTGTTTGTGTAAGGGATGTAGTGTGTGTTTGTATGTATGGAAATGCAGTGTGTATTATGGATTTAGTATTTATGTATCCAATGGAGCAGGCCTACCTTCTCAAGAACTACAATGCTGGCTGACAATACAGGTCCCCATCTTCCTTCCACAAACAAAATCAAACAGCAGCTAGCTTCTCTCATGAAGGGCAATGTAGTATATGTGTATACTGGATGTAGTTTGTGTGTTTATGGGATCTATTGTGTGTGTATAGGAAATGAAGTGAGTGTGTGTTTATAGGGTCTGTATGTGTGTGTTGAAGATAAAGCATGTGTTGATACAGCGTGTGTTTGCAGAAATGTAATGTATGTGTTTATATGTAGGGGGTGTAGTGTGTGTGTATAGAGGATGTAGTTTCTCTGTGTCTTTTATTATGCCACATTTAAATGAAGAAATACTGTGTCCTCACAAGCAGACTATTAGCACCCATGGCAAACCTTCTGCATTCAAATTTCTAAGTTACACTACTAACAACCAAAAATCAAAGGGTAGGTGCAACAAATACAAGATAGAGATGTCGCGAACCGTCCGCGAACTTCTCGCGAACGGTTCGCCACAAGCTGTTCGCGGTGAACTCCGGTCAGCTGACACGTCCCGGCCAATCTCCAGCAGACCCTCCCTCCCAGACCCTCCTACTTCCTGGACAGCATCCATGTTGAATAATATTATTATTGTTGAAACATGGATGCTGTCCAGGAAGTAGGAGGGTCTGGGAGGGAGGGTCTGCTGAAGATTGGCCGGGACGTGTCAGCTGACCGGAGTTCGCCGCGAACAGCTCGTGGCGAACCGCGGCGAACCGTTCGCGAGAAGTTCGCGGACGGTTCGCGACATCTCTAATACAAGATTAACTTGAAATCAAGGCTGTCCATACATGCCACACTCTTGCCCATTACTGGAAATAAACCACAATATATAAGTCACATTTAGAAAACAGAGCTGGACAAAAATAATCTATATGTTGCCATTGAACAGCTTTCATTACGGATGCCTCTGGAATACTCTCTCCAAACAGACTAATGCTCTCCTCACATTTAAATATTTGGCTCTTTGACAAGTTATTTTATCCCATTGTCTCTTATACCACCTTGGCTATTTTAACCCTTCGACTTTCCTTTTGCTTTCTCTACACAGGCTCCTATTCCGCTCCTGGAAGGTTCACGTTGCATATGTTCCATCGATCACATTGTCTATATGCTGTATAATTTCTATTATAATAAATGGATGGGAAATAGATACAACAATTGCTGTTGTTTTTGCTATAAGTGTAAATGAAAAAAATCCATTTAAAGTACCACAACACAGTGTTATTCTTTAGAAACAAATAGCATCCAAAGATTTGTTTCCATATTGAGTCTGCACATTATGTTTTCTTTAACAGTTGGTTTTAAAGATGTTATGCCTGTGTGGGAGGCATGTCTTCATTCTCTTTTCTGAACTAAGAATCATAATCATATTATCAATATTGTGAGTCAACATTTTTAAAACTTATAATGAAAATCCTGTTCTATGCTTCAAGTCTCTTATTTAGCAAATGAGTGCATAAAAATGTATAAGATAATAGAAAAATAGTACTCCCAAATCAGATTATTTGGTATATAATACCAGCATAAATTGCATTAATACATGTAATTCTGATAGCTCTGATCACTATATTAAAAATACATTGAAATGTCATTTCCAGGCATTTTCATTATAAAAGGGGTCTTCTAATTATTATTATTATTATTATTATTTTACTTATCTTCCTAGTTCAAGGTTTGATGTTGATGCACAGAAATCAAGGATATACCTATGCATGTGTTATAAGCAGCTGCATATGTTCAGATGCAGTGCAGACAGTTGTAATAACATTGTATTTTTTGAGCATTCAAATAACTTTATGGTAGTGCGTAGTTATTCTGGTGTGTTACAAATCAGTGAGATCTACATCCATGCATTCTCCTTTTTATTCTGTTTCTATGTTTTTTCTAGCATCAGCACTTTGCCAACACTCATCTAAGAGATTTTAAGCAGAAAGTGTCAATTTCTTTTACTACATAGCCTCAGTCATACAAGACCTATGAGAATATGCTCTTCTCAAAACATAGAGAAGAAGCAACAGGGACCGGGAGCAATTGTGCATGGGTTGGTGGCCCATGGACTGGCCCAATGGCATGTTTCCCTGTGGACTGTGACATATGCAGATGATCAGGCAACCTGACTATAATGAGCATGTATGTATCCTTGAAGTTGTTTTTCAGTGGCCACAGGGTGAGATAAGACAGTGAGCGTGAAATTGATAACAAGGCAGTGTTGGTGGGAAACAGCCTGCATCTGTTTTCCAGTGTTGGTGGGAAACAGCCTGCATTTCTTAGGTATGCACAGATGTATTTGTATGCTCTTTCATACCGTTCAGGACAGATCTCCACTCCTGTTCCTGAAGGCCCAATAGACAACACAGCATCTCATTTCCAGTAAGAACTAAGTCATAAAATCAGAAGAAGAGGAAACAGAAGAGTGAGAGTCATGGGAGAGAAGAGAGTAAACGGATATGTTTTTTTTTTAATCTCTCCAATAAAATTTTAAACCCTGCAAGTATTTTAGAAAAAAAGATTTTACATTTGCACGTTGTTGTTCTGCTAATAGGTTTAATTTACATTTCAGTCCATTTTATAAAGAATATTTGCTTAAAGAAATATTTTTTGAACAATTGTAATAATAATACTAATGGCCAATTAGCATCTACTCATAGCGATGCATTGAATAAATGAATGTCTATGGGGAAAGTTCTTTGTCTCCACACACTGAGCAGCACAGCCCCAGGAAGCATCTCCAGTGGCCATCATAGGAGTGGCTACTGGAGATGTCCTCAGGCAGTAATGTTGACACTGCCTTTTCTATGATTACAGCAAAAAGCCTGCAGGGACTGACTATACTCACCAGAACATTCAGGTAACTACAGTGTCCCTTTAAAACCCCTTAATAAATTTCAGTTTAATTTAACCTTTTAAAAAAGAAAATTATTAGAGGAATTAAAAGGAGATAAAGATGTTATTATAAATCCAGCAAATAAGAGAGGAGGTATGATGATAATAAAGATTGTATATAGGATATTAAAAATACAAGTTTAATGGACAGTATAGGCACCAAAAGAACTTAATGCATCTACAGTCCCACTACTCAATTATTTGCCTTTTTTTTTTTTTACTAAAATCACCTCCTTATTTATACAGCCTTAGTCACACCTCACTGCATGTAACTTGCATAGCCTTCCTAAACACTCCATGTAAAGAGAGATACAATGTTTATATTTCCTTTATTGTACATTCTGTTTCATTTGGAATGTCTTATCTCCTGCTCTGTTAATACCCTTATAGACCATGCAGAAGCCTCCTGTGTGTCATTACAGTGCAATTTACAAAGCAGGAAATACAAATGTATATAGCAAGTTAACATCTAATTGAATATGCTACCCTTTTTCATGCCTGTTATATATATTCTACCAAAGATAGGAAAAAATCCAATAACCCCCACAGGCATACCTATTGGGTCAGGGATGGTCTAATTGTTGTCCCTGTCACAATATATTGATATTCATCTCCATCCCTTTGTGGAGAAAAAAGGCTGTAGAACAAAAAGAACAATGAAACTAAACTATAGTGTATAACTATATTACACCATGGCTATGTGGATTAAAAGATCCGCTCACATTTTGAAAAGCAAAAAGCACTTGTAATATAATTATAACCCCTACAATAAAGTGGATAATAATAAACCTGGGACTCCTTTTACTCATTTGACAAGCAAACTAGGAACCAGCAAAATATTATTCCAACAATCATTTATCAACTTGATTTACTAAATTTTATAACATGACAGGAGGCTTCATATTTGCTTAAGTCTCTCTTTACTAGAACTCCACAGCAGCACAGAAAAACAACCAATCAGAAAAAAGTTAGGTACTATAAAACTCCCCTTCCATGCATCATTTCCGCTTTCTTTGCTGCTCTGCAGTCAGTACAGGTCAGAGTACCACTGCCTCCTGCTTATAGTGGGTGGCTTTGGGATTTTATTGCTCATATTCAGTATTTTAGCCTTATAAATGCAGTATTGTTATAATCCTTGTATGATTTTATTCCTGTATGGTGTATTGTGATAATTCATGTGGGATTTTATTTTTATAATGCAGTATTGTTATAATCCATGTGGGATTTTATTTTTATAATGCAGTATTGTTAGAATCCTTGTGGGATTTTATTCTTATAATGCAGTATTGTTATAATCCTTGTAGGATTTTATTTTTATAATACAATATTGTTATGTTCCTTGTGGGATTTTTTTCTTCATATTCAGTTTTTTATTTTCCCTTGTGGGATTTTTATGCTTATATATTGAATATATTTTCAGAATTTTTTATTTAGGCCTTGTGGGATTCATTTTATATGCAGTATTACCTTGGTCCGTGTGTAAATTTTACACATGCAGTTTTGTTAAAACCCCTGTGGGACTTTATTTTCAGGCTATCACTGTTATATACATATTTAGTTTGGATTTCTGGAGGGTCTTTGGGGTCCTCCTGTCTCCTCTATCCCCTTGGCCTTGTCCCCCCTGTCCGTCTCCCAACTTTGTGTATGCTCGTTGTTATATTTTTTGTTCCGCCTTTGTCCTTATGTCTGGCAGTGTCTGCGTGCGCCGCTCGGGGGCTTCAGGAGGCTGACTGCATCTGCCTCCTTCGATTCCCGAGCTCCGGGACCGCAGAGTTCATCTTCGGCAGTCCGGTGTGTGTTTTTTCCGGTCACAGGGGAGCTCGAGATGAGCACCCGGCGGCCGGATCTCCTTTCCCATGTGGCCGCTTAAGCTGCGGCCGCCTCCGCCCGCGGACCGCGTGTGTCCGACCGGGCGGGGGAGGGTGCAAATGCTCGCAGCCCCTCCCCCGTCTGTTCCTAACTGGTTGGAGGTCTGTTTGAGGGGCTTTCCTCCCCTTTGTCAATCAAGGCCGGATTCCGATCACGGCCGGAGTTTTTTATATCAGATGAGGGCCCTTCACCCTGCTCAGGGTTAATCTATAACCCAAGATGACTCCACATTTATATAATTTTATATAAATATTTTGCTGGGCTGGAGAATAGGCTTTAGGCAGTACACCCTGTACTGCTCTGAGATGCCTGCAGTTTGGTTTTCTGCCTTTGGCCAAACATTAAAGTCTGCCAGTTCCCTGTATAGTGGTATAGAACTTCATCACTAGTAGCTGTAACATCTGTGATACTAGACTGGAGACATTATAGCAACTTAATCCAGAGGTATTTTGTAAAAACCTTACTACCCTGCTAGTGGGTTTTACATATTGAAATTATTTAACCCAAGGTTTCCCTGTTTCCTTACGTGTGTGTATATATATATATATATATATATATATATATATATATAGTGGACTATACACACGCAGATGGGCCCTACGGCTGTCGGAAGGCTATCACGGGCCTGCTATGTCTGTGCCCCATTGATTGGCCTGCTATGTCTGTGCCTATTTGATTGGCCAACTATTCTGTGCCCATTCGTTTGGCCTGCTGGGCCTGTGCCCTTCTGACGGGCCTGCTCTATTGGTGCCGAACCTCCTTTTGGCCGCAGGCCTGGGGGAAAACCAAGTACCCACTAGTGACATAGAGATAGGCAGGTGTCCAGGCAAGCACCGTTGCCATACTATCCAAGAGGACGCCAGTATACGGCCACCTGAGTAAGGTGGGAAGGGTGAAGGCCCTAAACCTCATGCCT